ACACTGTGAGTAGAATAACAGAAATGATTGATATGCCTAATTTTGGTCAAAGTGATGAAATACTTGGAGTTTTATATGGAAAGATTGGTTTTGATGGAGCATCAAGCCAAAGTGTTTATAAACAGAAATACGATGCAAGAAACACAAGTATAGAACTTAAGCATGAAGAAAATCTTTTCAGTACAGCTTTTGTGCCTTTATTGCTTAAAGTAGAAGATAGCGAAATTTAGAAAAATGAAAATCCTACAAGCTGTCACTTTTGTAGACCTCTTCATCTACAATATAAAAAAGAGAGTCCAATTTTATCCAGAGAAGAAGAATCAGATTTAAAAAATCAAATAAATACCTTAAAGACGTTTTGCAAAGTTTTTAATATTGCAGGAAGAATTTTGACATTTAATATCAGCTATAGGATTGATCTTACAATGTTTAATAATAAAGTAGTTAGCGCACTTACAGAGACAAAATCCACTCAATCCTGCAATGTGTGCAATGCTAAACCCAAGGAAATGAACAATATTGATTTATTAAAAGCAAAAACTGAGAATGACTTGGCCTTGGGGCTCGGAATTTCAGCTTTGCATTGCTGGATAAAATGCTTGGAGTTCATTCTTCATTTGAGTTATACAATTGAAATTAAAAAGTATAAGCCAAAAACAATTGAGGAAAAACTATCTGTAGACTTGAAAAAAAAAGAGATTCAGGTACTCTTCAGAGAACGGTTAAGCCTATACGTTGATATGCCTAAAACTGGGTCTGGAAACACGAATGACGGCAACACTGCCAGAAGAGCATTTAAAAATAGTGAAGTTTTTTCTGAAATTACTTAATTTAATTGTGATATAATTAAAAGATTGCATAATATTCTCATAACCATATCTTGTGGATATCCTATTAATATCAGTGAATTAGATTTATACTGAACTGAAACAGCTAAACGTATAGTGATTTTATACAACTTGTATGTTATGCTTCCTACTGTACATAAACTGCTACTGCATAGTTCTTCTATATCAAATAAATTACCTTTGCCAATCGGGGTATATTCGGAAGATGTACTCGAGAGTTTAGACTTGAGCACACGGCAAAAATATCAAGGTTAAACACAGTGATGAATAAGATGCACTACCTTCTAGTAAGATCAGAACCAAAAATATGCTTTATATTTTTGGTTCTGATCTTACTAGAAGGTAGTGCATATGTTCTTATGCCATATTTTAAAATGGATCAAGGTTTAGACAAAAGTTTTGTAGCTTTAAGGTATATTTTTAACTATGTTTTTTACGGTTTATGTTTGTAATAAAAATAACTAGCTTTTTATAACTATAACTAGTTTACTTATATACAACTGTTTATGTGCTTATTGTTTTAAAATTCTCATATTATAAGAATTTTAAAACAATAATTTATAACATTTATAAAATATATATAAAATGTTATAAGTTATAACATTTAACTAAAACATTATTTTGAATAAAATAATAGTTTTTCCACACAGCTATATAAACAATTTTTTTCTTGCTAATGTAAATAATTAAAATATTACATTTTTATTTCTTCAAAAAAAAATTTAATCTTCAAATTGAAGCTTTAATTAAAGAGGATCTTATAAGTTGATTCTATTGTTAATTAGAATCAAATATAATACAGAATTGGAAACTATAATATAAGAGAGTCCTCAAGAAAGATTTGAAGGAAATATTTTCGAACTACTTAATTTTGGAATTTATGCAGGTGATCTTGTAAGATCATTTAATATCTGCCCCTAAAAATAGCACATTATTTTTTAAACCACACAAAATCAACTTATGGAGTGTTGTAGCAAGGCTTTTGAGAATATTCTTATTTCTGAAATCAATAATAGTAAATACTATTCAGTTTTAGCTGATAAAGCATTATAACTGAATAGTAATAGATATATACTGTTTAAGATTGTGCCAATCTTAAACAGTAGTCTATCGTTATAAGATATATAGGCAATAGCTATAATACTCATAAAGATTTCTTAAGGTTTGTTGACTGTTCTTAATTATTTAAATGTGCCTTTAGTCGAAAATTACAGGCATGTTTAAATAATTATCTTTCTGTTGGTAAAGCAAAGCTAATCAATGTTTGTTTTACTTATTGGGTTTGAAAACAGAAAAGTCTAGGCATTTTTTTTTTACCTAATGTCTCTTCATAGTTGATGTTTGAATTTTGTTTAAATTTAACTTGTCCTACCTTGCACCAAAATTTTATGGATTTAATTTTTTAGATTGTAATTAGACTCCAAGATAAGCAATATGACATGTCTCAAATTTCAGAATCTTGAAATTGACAATTAAAAACTGGTCTAATATTGCTTTTGAATTAGCTCTGACTTTAAATGTAAAAGAAAACAAAAAACTAGAAAATGTGGAAAGCAAATCAATCATGATAATTACTCATCATATGATTAATTTAAGCTTTCTATCACTTTACCTATACTGGACCATCTTGTTAATGAGCTTATTAGTTATATAAGATTTCAAACAGAAAGCAAGTTGGTTTGTATAGAATGTTGTTCCAACTGTCATGTTAAGCTACCTGAAAACTAACTAAGATTTGCAAATCTACTTTCAGGAATTTCTAGATAGCTATCATTCCAACTCTGCATTCAACCTTTATTTATGCAGAGTTGGATTATGGAAGCTTCTTTAAATAGATCAGTCAAAACCCCTATCTAGTATTTTATAAACAAAACTCACGACAATGACTGATTTCGCTAACATTCTCGAATATTTTAAAGGTTTAATTCTAGATACAATACCAAGAGATTAAAAACTTATTCAAGAAGTAGAGTGTTAAAAAAGTCATTGAATGAGCTAGCTTTAATGTTAATTTATACTGAAATGGTTCTAGATAATGACAGGGTTAACAAAATTTTTTCAGCTTCTGGAGAAAGATGTTTAAAGTTGCTATTTAAGCCTTAAATAGTTGGCTATGATTGAATAATAGTTATATTTATATGTGAATAAAATAATTGAATATCTCTTATATTTACAATCATTTTTTTGTTTTTTTCATTGTTTAATTTTCTCTTAGAGCATCTTATTTTTTATTTGTTATAAATGTTTAATAAATAAATTTATTTTCTATTTTGTTTACATTTCATAATCCTTGACATCTAAAATGTTAAATGTTTTAAAAATTGTTCTAAACTAAATAATGTAAACCAATAAATAAAAAATTTAAATGTTAATTTTGTTAGAGTATGCTCAAAAAGAGTGCTCGATAATCATAAAAAACAAAGATGTAATAAATTAGCTTCCTGAGGATTCTAGAGATAGTGAGACTGTTCAAATCTTTTTTTTTAATATATATTTATGTATAGTAGTATACAACTTTTAAGTAAATATCTTTTGAATAAATCACGATATCATATTGTTAATGCAGTATAGTTGCATTTATTCTATTAGTAACAGAAATATAAAGGAAAGAATCCAGAATTGGAGAGCTACCTTTAGGCAGCATAACAACTTATATATGGAGTGCAAAGTCCTATGGCTTACCTTCTAGTTGGTGCACTTCGTTAAGTAAGTTAGACATGTCTAAATTACGAACAGAATAGCCAAGGCAAATTTTATATTTTACCATTATTTATTTTACTAGAATCCATTAAAAATAAATGAAAAAAATATGCGTGCAGATAAAAAAAAACTGTCTGGCGGCATCTACATGATGTAATTGTTGGACGTCTTTTTGACGTAGACTAACCGACTTATTAAATAGTTGCAATTATGAGTTAATTTTACAAATTTTAGCTACACCTATATAAAATCCTAGATCTGCCCCTCTACCCCTTTTTTATATCTTGATTTAAATCGTTTTTTTTATTCAACTTACAAAAATTTTAATCTTGTTTTTTAAATACAGATGACATAGTTTAAAAAGTTATCTCATAATTTCAAAATGTATGACAAATTAATTTTTATGTGCTGTTTCTTGTATTTAGTTATTAAATATAGTTTTCATTGAAATTGAAATGTATTTTTTCATATATTAGTATGAACCAATATGAAATAACTTTTTACCTACTTTAATTCTTTTCTTTGCAATTTTAAATGGCGAAAAAAGGCAGAGAATTTTTTATACATGTATTTTATTATTTTATTTTTTTTGCAGAGAAAACAACAAAAATACAGCAAACTACAACAACAACAAAAAAACACAGCAAAAAAAGCTCAATCATTGAGGTTTGTGTTCTACTTCTAAAATTGATCACCAATACAAATAAAATATTTATTAAGCCATAGCCATCTTGCTTTGTGTATTTCCAAATAAAAACTTTCTATGGTTTGAAAGTTTTAAACTTTCAAACCATAGAAAGTTTTTATTTTCAAACCATATATATATATATATATATATATATATATATATATATATATATATATATATATATATATATATATATATATATATATATATATAACATAGAAAAACATAGGCCTTTTTTTCTATATTTATTCCTTAATGTAAATAAAGTCGAAGCAGTGCCAGATCAAGAGTGAGGGAGGGTGGTGGCTGGGGGGGGGGGGCTATAAAAAGGCCTCTAAAAACAAAAATAGCCCCGGGCCCTATATATATCTATATATATATATATATATATAACATTTTAAAATGTTATATATATATATATATATATATATATATATATATATATATATATATATATATATATATATATATATATATATATATATATATATATATATATATATATATATATATATATAGATATATATATATATATATATATATATATATATATATATATATATATAGATATATATATATATATATATATATATATATATATATATATATATATATATATATATATATATATATATATATATATATATAGATAGATAGATAGATAGATATATATATAGATATATATATAGATATAGATATATATAACATTTTAAAAGTATTTTATACGCTAAATAATTAAATTTGAAAAATATCCAAATACTTACTTGGTGAATTAAAAGAGTATTCCAAGCCAGCAAAGGGATCACCCATAGCGTGGACTTAAAAATAGCATATATAATTACTTAACATAGCATATATAGTTTTTAATAAACTATAATTTTTATGACTTTATTATTTTTATATTTTGTTCAAACAACTTTAATGTAAATATTCTTTAAAAAAATAAAAATGGGTTATTATAACAACCTTATTTGTAAAAAAAGTCTGTTTACATAAGCATTTGTTTTATATTGACGTAGAATTTTTTTTTAGAGTTAGTCATTAAAAAATAATGAACAACATTTCCTAAGGAAATAGTTAACAAATGCAATAATATTTGGCAGCAATATTTTTTATGCTTAAGAAAATAGACTTTTTTGACAAGATTGATTGTAAACATTAACGACAAAAAGCAAAAATGTTCTTACCGATACTTCCACCTAAATTGTAAGTGTGCCCTAACTGGGAATCAAAGTCTGTACCAATTCCAACTTTTTCATGATTTTCATTAAATCCATGATGAGGATCAAAATTTTGAATTAGGCTTTGCTGATCATGAATATGTTCAGACTCATGGTCATGAATAACAATATGATTATGACTATGGTCAACTTCATGATCATGATTATCCTCATGATCATGATGACGGTTGATTTCATGATCATGATTACGGTCAATTTCATGATCATGGCTATGGTCGATTTCATGATGGTTGAATGAGCTCCCATCAACATGATTATGATCATAAAATGCAACATGATCACTTGGTGGCAATTGGTTATGATAGTTGTAGTTGTCTGATGGAGGATTAGACCATATATGTGGGTTACCACTGTTTTCTATTGTTACGCCATGCATGTTTGAACTAGATGTTATACTTGTGGGCATATATATGGTATTTGTATCGTGACCCACACTACTGAATACTTTACTATCAAGATTATGGTTTGCAGTAGAAACTTTTTGATTGCTTGCAATTGTATGAGAAATCTTTTCATTTACTTCATTAAACCTGTATCCAGGAGGATTTTGTAAAGCGCCTGAAAAATGATAGTCACTAGGTTTTTTAAGCAAAGACCCGCTTACTAAAGGGTTATAAGCTCCAAGAATATCTACTGGACTCTGAGGATATTCGTGAAAATCTTTATGGACTTCGCCTACTAAATTCAAATTATTTGTTGGATGAAAACCATTGTTAGTCTCTCTTTCAACTCCATGTTTAATCATGGGCCACCCTTTTGGTTGATTTTCAGAATGATACTCCAGTTCATCAAGAGTTGGATCATCCTGCAGTGCATTTAACAGTTTATAGCTCAGAGAATGAATTGATGGTGATAAATCTTGAAAAGGTTCTATTGATGTTGCATCTTCAATAGCTTTGTCTTTTGAATCTGCCGCTAATGCAAGTTCAGTGTTAACTTCGTTCTTAAAATTTCCAAAAAACCCGTTTGTCTGAACTGATGGTTTTAATAAAGAATGGCTGTTGTGAAAGTTTGCGTCCCACTGAGGTTTAATATCGTTTGATATCCACTGTTGTTTGTTGTCATTTGCATCCCACTGCTGTTTACTGGCGACTCCAACATTTTCCATGTTGTATCTATTTGATTGAGTGTTTCTCAAAAGATTTGCAACGTAACTATTTGAATTCAAACTAGAATGATCAATTATTTCGTCTCCACAGCCTTCTGCAATGACAACCTGCCCATTTTCAATACATGATTTTAGTACAGAAGTACTTGATTTACGATTGATTTTTGGTTTTATTTTTTGTGATATTGAAACTTGTTTTAAACGTTTATTAATATGATTATTTGATTGATCGCTTAGCTGCTTAGTTGTTGAACTGGTAGAATGAAATTTTGTAATTTTTGGAGTTTCAAAAGTTTCATCTATAATTGGTACAATTTGCTGGTCCCAACGTTTCAAAGATGGTTTGTTGGAAATTATTTCTGAAATCAAGTCTTGTTCCCAAATTTTTGAGTCAACTGTTCTTTTTTTTAATTGACTTTTGTTTGTAATTTTTGTACCTATTTTTGTATCATTTTTTCTTAAAACTGATTTTTGGTTATCAAAATCTTTTAAGTACATTCTATTAGAAAAATTTTTTTTATTTTTGCTTAAAAAACCTTTTCTAAAGTTATTGGATTGTCTTCTGCTATCATTGCGTAAATCGAAATTTCTGGTGTCAAGTTTTGGTTCAAGAAGCGTTTCTTTGTTTTTTACAATTTTATTTTTAAACAAAAAAAGTTTATTTAGCTTACTAGGCCGACTTACTAAAGACTTATTTTGACCAGAAAAACTAGATTTGTTATTACCAGGTTTAAGCGAAAAGCTTCTCTTCACAATCAATTTAAGTTTACCACTTCTTGATGTCGAAATATAAAAGGGTTCATCTTGGACAAGATTGACAAGACGAGATGATGACGAGAGGATATTTGACGAAGTATCTAAAGTTAATAATAAAGAAGTTGACAAGCATATATGTATATAAAATATAAAATCAAAAATATAGTTTATGAACTACTTAAAATATATAATCAAAATATAGTTTATAAATCACTTGTTATTGATAACAATATATATATATATATATATATATATATATATATATATATATATATATATATATATATATATATATATATATATTAGGGTGGGTCATAAAATTTTTTTTTTCTTGTTACAGGCTCTAAACATTGCTAATAGTTATTAATATTGATGCTATCAAATACTTTGTTGGGAAAATTACCGGTACCCTAGTACTTTAAAGAAAAAGTTTTTCAAAAGTAGGTCTCAAGCCTGGTACTCAAAAGAAGCGAAATTTTATAAAAAATTCGAAAATAATAATCGTTTTATAAAAATCATATTGCCAAAAAAAATTTTTATCAAAAAACTTGCAAAAATGCACCTTTTTCACTTTTAGTTAAAAAACTATAGTTATTACGCAATAAATCTAAAATAATAATTTTTATATGAAAAAAATATTATTTTTGCAATTTAATAAATTTAATAAACGAAATTTTATAAAATTTCGTTTTATTGGAGTACCTACATCACATAATTTTGAAAAACTTTTTTTTTGAATAATAATAGGGCCTGCTAGTTTTTGTAATTATAGTTGCGGGTGGAAGACATTGTTTAATCCATAAAAGTAAATACTTTCCAAAATTAGTACATAAAGAAACAACTTTTTAGACCATAGCCAGGTTAGCAACTATATATATATATATATACATATATATATATATATATATATATATATATATATATATATATATATATATATATATATATATATATATATATATATATATATATATATATATATATTAAATACAAAATTTTATTCATAAGAATACCTACAATTTTTGTAATTTTGCTGTTTTTATTTCAATATTATCAACATGGATAGAAGAAATATTATTTGGTAGATATTTTTTTAAAACTGGGTAAAAAAGAGTTGATTTGGTTTTTTTTTTTTTTTCTAATGGTTTACTTAGTGTTTTTTTATTAGTAACAGCACAAGATTTTTGGTGTAATAATGGTGTAATTTTAGCTAGCAATAAACATAGTTTACATTAAATTGGAGGCTTTATAGATTTTAGTAAGTCTCAGGTGCCAGTATAAAGCCTTACAAAATCACATAGGTTATGTGTAAAAATCTGAACTCAAAAATTAATTTTAAAGTATTAGTTGGTTAACTAGTTTTTTTCTGCCATCTTAATTATCTTGATGGCACTGATAAAGAATATATTATCAACAACAAAACATAATAAGTGAAACAAAAATCATAATCGATATTAAAAAAATCTCATCTAAAATGCTAAAAAATATATATTTCAATAAGCAAATTAAAAAATGTAAACTTTTTTTTTAACATATTCACTTCCAACAAGGCTGCAAGCAACCACTATTAGAGTTGTAAGTTAATGGAAGAGAAAAGGTGAAGTTATAAAGCAAGATTAACAGACAACTTAAAAGATATCTCATTAAATGAATCGGGAGAACAAAAAGAAGGGAGCGTATTCCGAAGAACTGATGTTTAAAGAAAAAAACTACACAAATAAAAACTTTTAGATCACTTAGGATCAGTCACAGTAAAATGATGAGATTTAATTAAGTGACAAGTAACACGGGAATGGGTTTTAATAGATGGCACAAGAGATTATGTGATTAACTACCCATTTTGTAATTAATGACATAATGTGCTTTATACTATATTTTACCAACCTTACTTAAGTTAGTTTTTACTAATTCTTAAAGAAATAGATTGCAACGACGCACAATCATTTTTTTTTTGTTTACTTATAATTACTCAACAATTATAAGTTCTCCAATAAGAACTGATGATCAAAGAGCACCGCAGATAAGGATTTAATAAAAGAGCTACTGCTGTCTTCCTAACCGAAGCGCATCAACTGCATATTGAGCTCGTGCTAAAATTTAGTTATCAAAAACATATAATAATTACTAATAATTTTTAAAAATTAGGCGTTTTAAAAATTTATTTTTAGAGAGTAGTAATTATTAAATGATACATTTTTCGACAAAGAAAAATAAGTTTCAATAAAGATAGAGAAAAAAGTCATATGACGCCTAAATTACTTACTGGTTTTATATGCGGTTGAATGCAGCGGTACAAGCCCAATGAATAAAAGTAACAGTTCAATTGCGTACCTAAAAAACACAAAAAATAAATTTCATTCTTCATATTTAAGAAAGAATATAAAAGTTATATAAGGTTGTATAATGACAAAAATTAAAAAAATTAATAAAACATCAGTCGTTACTTACATACTGGTATATCTATGAATACATTTTTATTGTACATGGTCGTCTTTACACATTAAATAATTTACTATTTAGCGTTATTCTTTTTATTCAATTTATTTATCATTTTTTACTTCAAATTCTCGCAAATTTGAGAGTGAACGACCGGGTCGTTGTGAGCGTCAAAATCAACCTTCATGTTTGATAATCATGCGGAATGTTTAATAAACAGCTGTGAACCGTGTAATTAATTTTAATTTTTTTTTTTGATGCAGCAAAATTAAGTTTTAAATAGTCATTAAAATGAAGATCAAAAAATGTTTTAGATCATTATAATTATATGTTTAGATAATTATATGTTTTTTCTTTTAAAGCCAATAAATAGATGAATAAGTTATTTTTTAAACATCACTATAATTTGTAATAAAAGAATGACAAATCGTTTGCTTTTTGCTAACCAGATTATTTTTGGTTTAGTCTTCGTTTTATTTATTTTTTATTTAAATATTTATTTACTAATTTTATATATTTTTTTAATTTAAATTTTTAACTTAAAGAAACATATTTGCTGATAAAGTAATGTTGATTTGACTCTAACGTAAAGATTTCTATAATACGCACTATACACCGTATGTTAAACTGACTGCCATGTTTTATGTCTGTGCAAAAATTATATTATAACTGTATGAATTACTAATATATAAAAGATTTCCTAAACTTATATTACAGCTATAAACTTTTCAATATATGTACACTTTATTTAATTTTCACCATGATCAGGATGAGAAACACTTTTTTTGTAACATGCATAAGTTATTGAAATTATGCATAAATTACCTCGCCTATTTGCTTAGAGAGCCTATTTGTGCAAGGCTATGAGTGTGACAAAGTACTATTGATCTGAAATTACTAAAGATTCTAATATGTAAATCAACTTCTTGCTAATTTTATCAATTTTATTTTTGAAAAGTAGGGGAGACCGGGGTTGGTTGCAACAAAATTTTAAAAAGGTAATTTTTACCCTTGAAATATATATTTTTTCGATTTTATTTTTCTGGGTTATAAACAGATTTTAGTTACATATTAATCCAACATTGATAAATAAAATACCAAATTTAGTTATTCCGCAATAGTGAAACAAAAATATGTTGCATTTTATATTATTGCATTTTTTTTCGTATTGCAACAGTGCACCGGGGTGTATTGCAACAGTTCACAGGGCAAGTTGCAACACAATACTTTTAAAGTATAAGCTTTGCAGAGTTCACATAAAAGTTACTAGTTAATCTGTAATTTCTATTTGGCAACAAAACATTATAGTTAAATTAAAATAAAAGTAGTATTTAGACTTGACATGTACCTGACATGTTTAGTAAACTGATGCTTACATTAAAAGACTTGAAAAACTTAAGAAAGAAAATAATGTGGATTATTATTTAAGCTCGTATATTATTTAAACTTTTAAGTGTTTTTTAAAAAAAGTATTTCTTTAGTCAGTAAACATTAAATCAATTTATAAAAATGAAAGAGAAGTTTTATAAATAATATAAAACACAACTTTCATAAAAATAAACAAAAATCTAACTTTGATAACAAAAAAAAAAATTTCCAAGTAATAAACGTTCATAAAAAAACAAACTAGCATTAAAGAAACTAAAGAGTTAAACTAAATTTCAAGTCAACAATTATATTTCTTTATTATTATTATTATTTTTTATGTAAAATTACTAGCAGATTTTCGCTTTCTAGAACTAATTTCTTTTTCAGCCATAAGACGCTGTTTTACTGGTGTATCTGTGAGTATTTCTGTATGCTTTCTCTTTGATCTAGTGAGTATTTTTTTCCCGAGTCGTGCTTTTGGTAGCGGTCAAAAGCACGACTCAGGAAAGAAATACTCACTAGATCAAAGTGAGTATTTCTTTCCTGAGTTGTGCTTTTTTTCTCCGGTATCAAAATTTTCCCCTTACAACCTCAGGGGAAAATTTTGATACGGGAGATGGAATTGCATCTGAGGTTAAAGTTGATATACTAATATCAATAGCTGCATTAGATTGGGTTGCTGGACAATCTGTAACAAAAGGCAATATTCCTGCCACTCTAAAACCAGAAGATATATTTTGTTGTGTAAGAGAATGTTGTAATGCTATTTTTGTAATTCCTGGTAAATCATGTATACTCATTGTTTTCCCTGGAATACTTTTCATCCATGAGTCTTGTGCATTAGCTAAACATTTTTTAAATGGTTCGAATACAAATCTATCTAGAGGTTGCAACTTATGCGAACAATGAGGAGGGAAAGAAAGCAAAACTATACCATTATCTTTACACAACGTTATTAATTGAATAGATAAATGAGATTGATGATTGTCTAAAAGTAATAACACAGGGCTTTCTTTTGATAAGAAGTAAGTAAAGAATAAAGTGGTTTATGTAAGTAACAAAGCACTCCTCATTCATCCAGCCTGATCCATTCGAAGCACCAATGCAATCATTTGGCCCATCACAATAAAAGTGATCAAAGAATTACTTTCTTGGAAAAAAAAAACATTGGAGGCACACTATTGCCAAATGCATTTACGGCTATTACCATTGTCACTAATGTCCCTTGCTTATGAGAAGTTAATGCTCCCACTTGCTTAATACCTTTACGAGCAATTATTTTGTTTGGTTTTTGCACAGTAGTGATACCAGTCTCATCAACATTAAAGATATTTGATGATCTATAAAATCTGATAATTTTTGAAAAAAAACACAAATGATGGTATATATTTAAAAAGATTAGGATTTAAGATTAAACCGTTACTTTGGAATATTTTATTAACTAATAGTATCAGATGCCTATGTTGTTAATACACCACCCGTACGAAAATTTCCTATGGGAATTTTAGAAAAATAACCCATGGAAAAACCATGGGTATTTGGAACACGTTCCCATGAAAAAACCATGAGTTTTCCATGGAAAAACCATGAGTTTTCATGGGAAACACATGAATTTCCCATGAAAAATCTTTAAGTTTTTCATGGAAAAGTGTTTCAAATACCATGGATATTGATTTTCCATCCATGGAAAAACCATGGAATTTCCATAGGTATTAGGAACACCTTTCCAAGGAAAACTTATGGATTTTTCATGGTAAAAAAGCATGATTTGTTTTCAAGTTTTTTTATCTAATGTTATTTGAATTGTCATATTAAATCATAAAAGCAAATTTTATCCCACTATTATTGAGTTCTCTTAATCTATGAGATCGCTTTCTCCAAATAAAATCAATAAACAAAATAAAATTTAAATCTTGTTAAATCCTACAAATCTTTGAAAAATAATAGCTATAATGCACCTAAAACATTAAAACTTGACTTCCCCACAATATTTAATGCATGCATATGTATAACATACTGAAAATAAATAAAACAAAAAATTACAAGTAATATAATACTATAAGTGATATCACTTATAGTATTACTATACATAGTGATAAACAATTGAAATTTATCAAGAAAACAATTTTTACAGAAAATAAAACAATTTACATGTTTATTATTTTATATTAACTATTTGATAAAAATAGTATATATAAATTTGATAATAACTTCAAGTTAAAAAGAACCATCAATACAACATATCTAATTAAAAAAACATCAAGCCCATTTATAAATGCGTCTGAAGTGTATCTGTAGAAATAGGTAGATGCTAAACAAAGTACCATTCACATATTAATATTCATTTTTTTTCACCCTAGTTAGTCTCATTCTCCATTTCACCAATCTAGACAATACATCATACAACTATTATATACAATCTAACTAGTTTTCTTTATTTACTAATTCATTTTACTTATAATTATTATCTATTATAACTTACTTTATAATTAGGCATTATACACAATTATGAATGTTGCCAAATGTTAGGTAACATTTATATAGAAAAAAGTAGCAATGAATATATCATTATTTATAAATACAAATTATTAGATTGTTACCTCTTTTTTGCCTAAGCTATCTGCATTATGTACAACATCGTTTATATTTCCAGTCAAACATTCCTGCCTATAATGTAACTTTATTAAAATGATTTATTCAAACTAATACATATATAAATGTTACCTGCATGTTAGAAACATTTATATAGAACAAGGCAGCAACAAATATTATATTATACATTTACTTTTGTAATTAAAAAAAAACTTACTTCTTCTTCTGAGCTATCTGCATGATGTACAACATCATTTACAAACCTGTTTTCTTCACGTCCTTCCATTTTTTAATATATTATAAAGCACAGGACTTGTTAATGAATGGCTAAATAAATAAATTAAAAATTCATATTTAAATGAAATGATAAGGTTAAATGAAAAGATTTATACACATATATAAATTTTACCTGCATGTTAGTAACATTTATATAGAATAAGGCAGCAACAAATATAGTATAACTTATAAATTGTAATTTTAAGTAAAAACTTACTTCTTTGTCTGAGCTGTCTGCATGATGTACAACATTATTTATATTGTCAGTCAAACTTACCTGCTTATAATGCAGTAATTTAAATAAAATGATAAAGTTAAAATAAAAGAACTTACGCACATACCATTAAATTTAAAAATTTATTATATTTTTACTTCACTATTTAAAACATAACAAATATGTAATTTATAAAGTATAGTAATGTAAAAGCATAGTAAATATCAAAGTGTGTGCATAAATTAATTTATTTTAACTAAAGACAAGCACTTTACATCAGTTAAATATAAACAAATAAAAATAATTGTATTATAATAAATAATAGTGTATTATTTATAAACATTGCTTTTATATGCTTATATTTAACTATGAAGTAAAATCTTGTGCATTAAGTAAATTCCCTTACTGATACTTATAAAATATTACCACAGTTTTCCTTCTCCAACTAAGTGGTTCTTGGAACATCCTTACAAGTTGAATCCCAAAGATTACGTTTATATCTTTTCTGGTTTAAACTCAATTCACCATTTTATTTTGACAGCTTTTGAACTATTTTTAAAAATATTAAATGCATATAAAAACTGACGATGTTATAAACAATATAAACGATGAACAACATTATTTATATTGACAGTCAAACCTGTTGGCTTATAATGTAGTAATTTAAATAAAATAATAAAGTAAATATAAAAGAATTTATAAACATTATTTATATTACATTATTTACATATTCTAA